CACACACACACAGAGTGTGAGCAGGGCAGGAGCAGAGAGAGAGGGAGACACAGAATCCCATGCAAGCTCCAGGCTCCGAGCCGTCAGCACAGAGCCCGACGTGGGGCTCGAACTCACGAACCATGAGATCGTGACCTGAGTCGAAGTCTTATGCTTAACTGACTGCGACACCCAGGCGCCCCTGGTTTTAGAACTAGGTGCCAGGTAACTAGATATTCAGTGATCGCACACTTGGAACCAGCCTAAAGATCAAAAGAAACAACCTGTCTGCTGTAAGAAAGGAGGTGCCGAAAGCAACCATCGTCAAGGGGTGCCTTTTGCGTTTGCTGTGCTCCCTTGACTGTGTACTGTTCCTGTAACCTGTTTCTTCATTCTCGGCAGGTGAATGGCTATGTGGTGAACCTCTTCTGGGCATTTGACACCCACAAACAAGAGAAGATAACTTTGAACTTCCGGGGGAACATCTTGTCGCACAAAGGTAACACCTTGGAGCTAGTTGGCAGGGAGGAGAAAGGAGATGGATACTTCCTGGTGGCAGAGTTTGTGTGGGGGCCGCCTGGAAAGGGAGGCTCTCCCCTGCCAGCTGTTCTGGGTGGGCAGAGCGAAGAGACTGTAAATGACCCCTGCTTTGGGGTGGGGGGGGGTCCACTTGGCTCGTCAGCCTCCTTCTCTAGCTTGGTGGCTCTTCTGTTGGCTCTTAATGGAAGTTGGAGGCTTCAAAGAGGAAAAACTGGAAAGAAGCTAGATTAACCCTCTACCGATGATTTTTTAGCTCCAAAAGAAAGTTCTGGGAGTGAGTTACCTGCACCTCTTCTCTGGCGTGGCTCGCTCCTGCTTTGCTAATGCGAGGTCCACAGGGCGTGGTGCATCGTTGGTATTCAGGGCATGTTTGTTGAATGGATGGACAAGTGACCTGAGCTAAGGGAGGAGGGAAGGAGGTACCCCAGTCCCTCTTATATGTGTGCACCTACTGTGCGCAGGCATTTACCTAGGCGTTCTTTGTAACCTAGGCATTTTATACAACCCCAGTAATAAATCTATGGGGTATGCTCATTTCATGGGTGAGAACCCAAGGTTCAGAGATAAAGTAGTTCCCTCGGAAGGTGGCAGCTTTAGAACCTGCAACTTTCTGATTTCTGAGGCTATGATCTCATTGTCTCAGTGTCGCACCGATAGGAATTGGCAGAATCAGAAGCGGTAACCGTCTTGCCTGAAATATATTAGGGCTAGCTAGATGCGAGGCACCCTGCCGCATGCTTTTTTTTTTTTTTTTTAAGCATTTTATTTTTGAATCCTTGGAATAGTAGCTGCTGTAAGTGTAGTTGTTCTTTTCTGTCTTACAAACAAGGAAATGGACTTCATTTGAATACAATTGACCCTGAATAGTCGGGGGTTAGAGGGCACTGACCCCGTTGAAAATCTGCATATAACTTTTGACTCCCCTAAGACTTAACTACTAACAGCGTGCTGTCGACCAGGAGTCTTGCCAGTAACATGAACAGTGAATTAACACACATTTTGTATGTCGTATCTGTTATAGACTGTGTTCCTACAATAAAGTAAGCTATAAAAAAAGTGTTCTTTTTTTTAAAATTTTTTTTATTTTTTTTATTTGTTTATTTTTTAACGTTTTTATTTATTTTTTTTCAATGTTTATTTATTTTTGGGACAGAG